GACAATTAAATAAAGGTATCATCATCATCATCATCATCATCATCATCATCATCATCATCATCATCATCATCATCATCATCATCATCATCATCATCATTATTCACTGCTCATTATGTATCGCGGAATGCAGATTTGAATTTGATACTGGTTGCCGCAATGACTGATGGAATCATTATTCGAATAATCGATTCACTAACGGAATCCTGGGGGGTACCCTTCACCATAAAGATTCTTGACTATCAGTAATGAAATTACCGTGCACCGATACCGGGCGGCATCTTGTAATTGAAGCCAAATTACTAACGTAATTCCCGTGGTAGCTAATTAATGGTATTATCTGTTTTTTGTGACGTAGAGAAAATTATACCCCATCCTCGGTGGATAACATTTTCCTCGACCTGTATAATTCTTTGCACAGCCTATTTTTTTTTTATTAATTTAAACCTGTTACTGGTTACCTTTTGATATAACTCGTGGCTGTCGCATATAAAGCTGAAAAAAAGTTTATAGAAAAATCACAGGTACCAGGAGCCTGCAGGTACCCAGAGCTCAAGAGTGTGAATCGTTGCGCAACAGAAATATTAGAAGGGTTTTTATCGGGACTTTTAGCAATCGTTATTTAGTGAACAAAAATAGCATAAAAAAGCTTACTACCGTCACGCTCAAGGGCATATAACTTTTTTTAAATCAAGATGAGTACTGATTTACGTGTAGCCTACGCCTCAAAAGAAACCAAACTCCGGTGAAGTTCGTTAAATTACGTCTGCAGCGCAGGTTAGCTTTCTAGTCGTGACGTACAGGAAATACCCAGTATAAAATTTCAATTAACCGTATTTACGTCACGTGGTAACTAATGAGTTTAGGTTTTCTTGTCACCCGAATGCTTGAAAGTGGAACAATATGCTGAGGAGAATGTTACAATTAATCAGTGAAGTCCTAACATTTATAAATAGCGGGAAAGGTCTCAAAAAAGCAGTACCAGTCACTGAATTACCTATCAGCGAAGTAGTACGGAGTTTATTTTCCACGTTCCTAGTTCTTTCCTCCTGGTCAGTGAAGAGTGTACAGCAACCATGAGTTTGTGTATTGATATCGAGAAATTCGCCAACATGTCTGCGGTGCTGAAAGAAGTAGAAAGGCAACGAAACTTGAGGATTTTCTCGGCAATAGCTCCTGATCAAACTAACATTCACAAACCGCTGACGAGAACGATGTCTACGTCCAGACCGGAGGCACTTAACAAGCACAAAAATGCTAAACGCCAGGCCAGTGATCCGAGCAACAGCAGGCGTAACCGTCTTTCAAGCACTCCCTGTTCAACCATCGATCACTGGAAACCAAAGTTTGATGGCCGCCTCACGGCTGCTGCTAAGAAACTGAGCGAAGAGGAGCTTCGTTTGCTGGAAGAAGACATTCTTAAGCCAGTGGACGTTTTTTTCGTTTTACGCCAGATACGAGAGGAGACTGTGAGTAGTGACCAGTTATTTCAGTAAGTCAGCTGTCGTGGGTTACGTACACAAGCATTGACGTTTAATCAAAAAGCTTGTAATATTAGCTGGCCGATGTAAGGTAAAGACACCATTAAAAACATTTGATGACATTTTCAGTCTTTTTTGGCTTGTCTTTGTCAACGTTGTTTCAATGACTGCACGAAGTTTATATGACCATAGGAATATACAGTGTTGTAAAAGCGAAAGAAAAAGAAAAGATTATAAATTAACAACGTTGTGTAACGGTCAAAAATAAAAATAAACAAAAACAAAAATCACATTACTTTAAATTGGGTGCATTAACCGATTTCTAAATTAAATTGCAGCAACTGTGTTTTAAAATTGATAAAGAAATAATTTTTTTTGGTACATAAATCGAGAGAAGACAATGTACTGCTCAGTGCATATAAGATAATGACCTGTTTCAGTAGAGACGGCGTTTCTCGCTAGGTTCTTTCCTTCTTCTCCCCGTAGCTTCAGGGGGCTGGAAACCTGGGAACGAGTATGATGTCCATCAAATTAATCTCTGCTTTCGGCATAATGTCCTTTAGATTCTTTAGCCAGCAAAGCGTTGCCTGGCTAATGTTGAAAATCGTAATCCTAATCCTAATGTAAGAAATTAAAAGGTAACAACTTCGAGGGTTCTTTCAATTGGGCTGTAGCATAGTCAGGATACCATGATTTAAAATCACGCCACTTTCGCGTTCCATTAATGAATCGATTATTTGAAAGTTTGAAAGATTTCATTTACCATCTCGTTGCCTAAAACTAGTATCAAATTGAAATCTACACTCCTGCATGTATAACGAGCAGAGAATTTTTGGCTTCATCTTCTCAGCATTCGGTCCGATTGAAAAATCTTTGAACGCATAAAATTGCTTTAAGGACGTTTATATCAAATTCAAACAAAATAAGCTGGCAGAAATTTTAGAACTGCCTCGCATATGAATTGCTGCTCACTTTGCGCTAGCGCGATGCAGAATCTACCTCTACGTACTAACCGTAATAACCTTTCAAATAATAAATTCGTTAAAAATGGAATCTTGGTGGGTACGCTTGTCTATTCGGCTTAACTGTAAACGTCTCTGGCGTTGTTGGTCGGGTCGCAATGCAAAAGTAAGCTGAGCAGACTGGGCCTCATCGACTGCTACGTGATGGTTTGGCTTTAATAATTATCCTTCTTCGTTAATTCGAAGGAGACGTAAAAGAAACATTATAATGATCAGTCTTGAAAAACAGTAGGAAAGGTAAGGCCTATAATCCAATGTGACTTTTACCTCTCTAGGCAAATATGGAAGTAGCCTCCCACGCAGGCGTTTTTAGGGGAGCTCGTTTTTCATCCCTCCCCACAAGAGCTCCCCTAAAAACGGAAGCGGATGAACAACAATATAGTCACATGAGTTAATTCCTCTATTCCGTCGTATAGCATAGCGTATAATAACTCCCCCATCAAGATAAAAATTTTATTTCCAAACTTCAGAAAAGTCAAATATCCGTTACCAGTTCCACTCTTTTACCTTAATGACTAGAAGCCCTCCAACCAAATAGGACTTTTCAATGGCAAAAAGCAGGCTATTAACTTATTTTAGTACAATTGCAATAACCGATAGAACTTAAAGATCACTGCTTTTGTAATAGCAAAGAATCAGGCCCTAAAAGCGTGTTACTCTAATACAACACATTAGCACTTCGTCGAGACTATTCGCCAGCGCCATTAACCTTTAAGTTTTTAAGACTATCCGCTGGTTGATTGCAAAAAACCCAGTTCCCTGACAAAATGCACTTAAAGCATAATTTACATTATGCGCTCTGCTTTTGCAAGGCCAGGAAAGCGAAATTGTGACCAGAAGAAAAATAATAAGTAAGTTAAGGTAGAACAGTTGCAAAATTTCCGTAATGGTAAGACATACAATGACATATGGCCAGCTCCCAGCACTCGTGTCGTTTGCCGCTGGAACCTTGGATTCTTTTAGCAGGTCATTCAGCGGAAGGTACAAAGGAGGACTGTCAAAACCATGGTGAAAATACTGCCTTTTAAGATGAATGCATCTGAAAGAAGGAAATAACTACGGTTTATAATTATTATAGTTACGGAGCATATTGTGTAATTAACAAAGGCATTAAGCCTAATATGCACATTACATCAATTACAAGGTTATGAAGCTACAACCATTTGCAAAAGTTGAGTCAGTCCGACGAAAAAAGCGGTCTTTTTTTACTTATTCCTGCTAGTCATACATCTGTAAGAAGACTCACCTTCTCCCTCTCCTCCATTCACAGTTGTTCTTCCAAGGTTTGAGCATTGTCTGCTTAATAGCAACTTTGACAAAGGAGGAGGGAGAATCATAAGGTCAAGATCATGGACATGCCATCTATGCCCAAATACGGTACAGTGTCTCAAGTATTTTTGCAACTAGTTGTAGCTTGCCAACTTTGAATTGGAACCAATTGCCTGGGGCTAGTGATTCAACTTGAGTTTCAACATTTTGACGTCATTTCATGATGTGTATTGTCCATTTGTCATTAGAAACCTTACTGATCCGATGACGGCGAAGGCAGTGAGTCCATTTGCGCTGTTCCAATCTTCATCGCGATTATTCCAACTCACTCACTTTGTGTAGCCGAACTTTTCTGGTGTTCCTCATAACCATAATATTCAAGTTAAGAAAAAGGGAAAAATTCTTCCTGGCTTATTGGTACTTCCACCATAAAACGTGAAACTAGGCACTTTCACGTCTTGCTTGGTCGTCATGCAGTGACGGCAAAGAAATGTATAAAAAAGCACTGCACGTGCAGAATTGTTGTTTTTGCTAATCTAAAACTATGGCTTTTCTGACGTTGCCATTACCGTCGTCGTTGCTTAAGCTCTTTAATAGCGAAGCTCGTACCGCGCGTGGGCGGAGCCCCATAGCTAAGGAAATGTGGTAATCTACCCTTCCGAGAAAATTTGGTAATCACGTTACCTTAAACCGAGCGAGCGACCGTCCGTTTGCACCATAGGCATACCAATGTAAAAAGACTCAATCAACAGGTATGGCAACCCAAATGAAACTCAAGGTTTTATTTGGAAGGAAGTCACATGGCCGCCCGGACTTTTAGAAAGAAAAAACAACAACAAAGTCGCGTCTTTTTCGGCGTTATTTTTATGTTTACACTAACGTGGATAAAAGGGAAAGGGCTAGAGCGAGTTATTGAAAACAAAGGAGACGAATTTCGTAGGGAGAAAAACATGGAAATTCAAAGCGGTGGTGAGAAAACGAGAAATGCTAGCGGCCAGCAAGGTGAAAAAGTCGTACAAAACAGCGTTTTAGTCGTGCAAAACAACGGCAAGGGAAAGACAAAAAAGTGTTTGGTTTTCGCTAATTAGAAGAAAAAGTGTGCTGCACGTGCAATTTGTTTTTTTTGCTAATTAGATCTATTAGTCTTGAAGCCATTTTCATTGTCGTCTCCGTTTAGCACCACACGATTTAATTTTTTTGTTTACAAGTAATATTAACCAGAGCTTCGCTTTTAACCCTGGCCAAATCTATATAATAGCTTTTGAACAGGTGTTGCTAATACACTACCTGACTTGACGCGTGTGACAAAGTAGGTAGCATGAAATCCTGGCGCCACTGAATCATCTCTAAAAACATCTCGACGATTATATCTGTCAGACTTAAAACGCACGTACATCTCTCTACCGCTAGAAAATATGGTTTGAGGAGTGGGTTCAGAAGAGCAGTAACGTCTTAGCAGTGGACTGCTGGCGTCCAGTCCATCTCTAATTTCTAAGACATCAGTGCAGTTTGGGTCGAGGTTGATGGACCTCAAGAACACAAATGCCACTCTGTAGTTCCCAGTGACATGGATTCTCCAGATGCAATCTATGTTGCCGGGATAGTCCAGTGCAAAAAGGGGGCTGGTGATGTATCCCCTGTGTCCTGTAAGAGTTTTATTCCACGGACAGCCATCTGAGGGAAAAAGCAAATAGCTGCTCTAAAACATGCAACTGAGAAGATTATAGCTTGCGCGTGATTAAGGTTCTGTATCTTTTCTTTCCTTTTTTTCCAAAGGATGTAAATCACGTGACGAAGCCGCCAGCGTGAGCTTTTTTAAACGGAGGAAAGGGATTTTTTCATACTAGATATTTAGAGAACAGACAGGGATTCGACTCAGAGTCTTCATGACCTCATACCTGCAAGACTGTTAATAGCTTCAAATGTTACGTTAAATCCATTGTGGTTTGAATCCTTGTCAGTCACAAAGCGTAGCCAAACATCGCTTCCGCTAGCATATATAGGAGAGGGTTTTGTACTCCCACAGTATGTGCCAAGGAGCTTTCCTTCAGAGCTTCTTCCCTGGCGAACCTCAAGGAAGTCGCAGTCACAAGTCTTATTAGTGCACGAATGGATGTGAAATTCAGCAGCGTGGTCAAAGAACAGACGCACGTGATAACCTTGTGGAACCGATATGATCCATGAGCATTCCTGTTCAGATTCGTAGTTATTTGGAAAGTTAGGACTCATCAGTGATCCTGACATTCCTTTTAGGGTTCTGTTAATCGGACAAGGGCCTGTAAACGTAAATCACCAGTTAAACAAGCTCGCATAGCCAAGCAACACACCAACGAACTCGGGAATAACCTATCAGTTGGCTCAGCAAATCACTCGTCCTTCTTAATACAGGATCGATGGTCGGTAAGCATCAGGAAATTTTGAGTTAGTTGATTTTAATCTATCCTTATACGAAAGGGAGTGGTATTGACCATTCTTCGCTTTTCTTCACCCTAAAACTAGGCATGTATAATTCAGTTGTGATTGGTTTTGGCCTGAGGATTTCCCCACTTAACATAATGGAAAAAAAATCAAGCCAACGTTAGTTTGTCACACGATTATGGCAGCTTGGTCACAAGTTTAATGGGTGGTTTCCTAATTACTTAAATTTACCTTCTATTTCAAAATAAGTTCTGGTGATCATCCATTCATACGGAAATACGACATTTGTCTTTCAACAGCAAATTAAACTGATTTTCATATGAATTAGTTGTGTATCAGGCCTCGTTGTAATAAAGAGGCTTCGAGCTGTATATGACAACAGATTAACATACATGAAACAACTACAACAACAACAACAATAACAGGAAAGACACCAAAGAAATAAATAAAATTTTGGCAAAAAGCAAATAATTCAAGATCAGTTGTCGGGCCTAGCAGTCACTTCAACTTAAATTTTATTTAATACTCACTTTATCAGTTGAACGACAAGTATGGTCTTCAGCAGTTCTATATTCATTGAAATTTACATCTTATCCTAGTTTTTCGATTAAAAATGTTTCTCTTTTAAAAAATAATGAAAAACAAATAAAAAATAACAAACAAAAAATCCCACGAAGCTTGAAGAGTTTCAGCCAGGCCGTCTCTCGCTTTGTCGCCTGTATAATTGCACCAGAGTAAGGGACGTATACAGCTGTAAACGAAGCTTACCTTCATGGAGTCCAACGGATTCATACACAGCAACGAAGTCAAGGTAGTGACGTTTAGGAAGAATCATGTTCAATACCATCTTATTCCCACGGGTGTAAATTACTTTATTTGATGCAGGAAAACAGAATCTTCCAAGAATACTCGACGGAGTCAATTCAGTTCCATCATAGAGTATAACGTGACTCTTGGAGCAAGAAAAAGATCCATTGACATTGTAATGCAAAAACGTTAGTTTGAATCGACGTTTCGGCGACGTAGTTATAGACCATATGCAGCGACTGATTTGTGCTGCTTCCATGACCCTTGGGCTTGTTATTACACCGCGTTCTGCTGTCATGGGATTGTTACTGCTAGAACTTGTACATTCATCTGTGTAGTAATAGGATTACAAAATATGGTGTAACAAGAATTCAACTTTAGGGGCAGTACGAATAAGTATAATTTTTTAAAATTCCTTAATATCATCGCTAAAGAATACCGAGCACTACTTAAATCAAAGAATAGCGGGGCACGCCAGACCGAGCTCAGTGGATTCTTTAGAAGTTGCTAGTTGAACTAGTTCAAGTTTATACTAACAGCTAGATGTATAGTTTACAGCTGTATCTCGTTGAACACAACCATAGTGAGAAGAAATGGTTATTTTAGGGGCGTTTTAGAGACGATCCACATCAGGGTAACAAACTGGCCGGATGCCGAAACGAGGCCTTCGTTCGGACACTCGTCTAGCCCTCAGAGGGCTAGACGAGGTCAGTGCGGAAGAAATTGAAAAGCACTTTTTTTACGGATTATAATTGACTAAAATAATATGTTCCAAAAGTAGCTAAACATTTTGAGAAACGTCGTTTGCGTTAATTTTCTGGTTTTAGATACATTTAGTACTAGTCATACTAGTGAACCAGGCAAAAATAACCCATTTTCTTTGAATACATGGATAGAACACTGATTTTTTTGGTAATCGTATAACTGAAAATATGCCTCGCTTAGCTCCCTTGTGTGAACCCAAGTTCTATATCCTGTTACTTCAATTATCTCCCTAACTTCCCGGCTGAAAGTAGGTTTCGAAAGAGACAGCTTCTGACGACTGAATCTTACCTTCAAGTTCGGTGCCAGGGCAAGCCCCAAGGAACACATAGGCAGAACGAACGTTAGGATCTTCCTTAGTGTATCGCTCTATTACATTCACGCTGATATTTGTAAAGATATTTGACGAGTAGAACAGGACAATTGCATTATAGATACATCCGTCGAACTTATTCCCTGATAGTCCACCAAGCTCAATTTTATCTGGTTTGCTAAAACCAATTCTTGTCATTCCCGGACGATCTTCTTTAGTATCCTTTTGCTGCCCATCGTCAGCTTTTGAGGTGACAGTCTTCGTTTTGGGATACCTGTTGAACTCCACCGAGTGACGTCGCCCATCACAGATGGTTAGATTTCCAGGCAAACTCACTGGTACTTCAAATTCTTCACCGTTAATTATGTAGTAAAAAGTTGCTTTATTTTGTTCATGGAAAGAAATTCGATACAAATCGTCGGTATCTCTACTTGTTATAAGCAGTAAATCTCCATTGCACTTTGTGGACGAGAACTCAAGTCTCAAATACGCTCCAAGGAATGATGAAGTATTCGTCAATTTGTACTCGATGAAACTTGTCTTTGCCCTAAACGAAACCCCACCATCCAGTTCTGTTTACAAGAGTTAAGAAGTAATATGTGTTACAAGTTTTATATACATGTATGATTCAAAATCAATCTGTACCAATTTTAATCAATGACCTCGGCTAGAGTCATGTGCAAGGTATTTTTGCAGAACGAAAGAATTATAGCCCATTCATGTTGAAAAATAGCAAAAACGTAAATGATGTAATAATAATAATAATAATAATAATAATAATAATAATAATAATAATAATAAAACGAATAAGATGATCATGAGTGGTCGCCTGAGGAAACACCTCGTTCATTGCATTGCGTACTCTCCCCAGTTTACATCTATTTTCTAATCCAAGATGGCCCCGACACACTGACACTCTGAAATGGTCATACCACGTATGCAACGGCAGAATATTTCTTAAAAATCGTTTTAAGGAAGAACTTAGTCTTTCAGCCTGTAATAGGCTGAAGAACTGATGCTTCATTTTTGAAGGGACAGTTCTCGGAGATCACGGCACTTGCCCGGCTTGTAAAGAGATTTTTAATTATCTTTAGTAAGAGCTTTCGATTCAAGCCCTAGCCTTCGTGGCGCTCATTTAGAGCCTTAGGGAAGATGATTACGAGTAAGGTAAACATCCTCTTTCACTATAATAAATTACGAAGAGATGGAGCTTCGCAAAACCAGCTGCCAAGGCAGTAGACGAATCATAGGTCCCAGTAGTCAATCAAACAAACAATTCCCTTTTAGTTTTGAAGGGGTCTTTTCCTCTTTGTCTTTTCTTTTTCTAAAAAAACTTAGTTAAAAAAACTGGACTTAATTGACTTAGACACGAAAAGGACACTTACACGTTTATTTCATGAAGTACTTACCGTAGGAGACGGTTAGCCTCAAATGAAGTATAGCTAATTAAAATAAACGAAGGAAAAAGAAGCATTAGTATTCATAGCGAAATATGTTTTCTCTTTGAACGAAGATAGCCGCTTTTGATAGCCGAGCTGAAACCTTTTCCGAAATTCATAGTTTTAGCAATCAGCAGAGCAGCGACTCCTGTAGAAAACATTTTTGTGGAGTGGAACTGATGATATTCTGATGATATTTAATGATTGATGAATGTTAGCAAGTCGGAGCAGAGTCCATTTAAAATTTACAGCTAAATTATTATTCTGTGATGGTCATTTCACTCGTCTTGGCCACAAGAGTTAACATAAACAAAACAAACCATCTGTCTGTTAAAAGATTTTCTGTACATTGGTGAATGGAATTTGAGCAAATATTTCTGCAAGAGCCTGAAGAATCTTCAGCTAAAACGGAAATGAAACGTCTTCAAAAAAATCAGATAATTTATTTTTTTAAAATTGATTTTAATGGAAATACACATTCTGCGAGTTGGGTTTGAATTAAGATATCAAACCGAGCAAGTAAATTTACTCCCTATTTGGTTGACCATAAATATTTATGCCGCGATCTGTTTTGATCTTATAATACTACCTATGTATTGTTGTGCACGATGTCTGGCGAGTAATTGTAATATTAATATACTTTGCAAATTTAAATCTCTGACAGCAATGTCCCTTCGCTCACGTACTCAACTGGGGGAATAAATTTAAAAAGGAGCAGAAAAATAAACGAGACCATTCTTGACCATTAGCTGTAGTGTTAAATTATTAATGTGTGATTGTGCTGTGAATCGCAATTTTGCTAACAAAAAAATCAGTGAAATAAAAGAATCGTACATTTTACCGAAATTCATTGAAAGAATGAAGTGAATGAAGCAGTGTAATGCTTAAAATTTGTTTTAAAGCATTTTGGTTATCGATTTGTCCAGTTTTCTTTGTCTTAAATTATCTGAAGTTCAATTCTTATAAGCCTCACAAAGGATTTTTGTCGAAAAAACTATTTCTTTGAAATGTTTTTTTTCCGTTTCATTTCCTTTATATAATTTAAGAATTTACTTACCTGACAAGAAAAGCGTAAGCTGAAAGCAAATACTTTCCGTCTTCATTTCTTGTTTTCATTAACTCTAGCTCATCTTTGTTATTACTCACGAACCACAATTTATAATTAAGGTTACCAGAGTCACGTGACTAAAACGACAGCTAATTGTCGCAGCTCTGGGTTCGCAGCAACCGACATGACTTAAAAAGCTTTCAAGCGATGTACGCCTCATTAAAGCCACTTCTGACATAAACATCTCACACTATGATATGTTATGTGCTATTACAATTGTACTTGTACTGACAAACCCTTAACGAGTGAGTGCTCGACGCAAATCACTTCCTTTGTATTTGTGCATGTCAAGTTGGTTTCTAAAGAGACAAGGGATATGCGATAGCCATGATACATATCAATATTTTTGTTTAATTCGAAAAAAGTTGTTTTCATCCACCAGCGCTCTCTCCATTGTTATTATACTTCCTATTTCACTCATCATTTTTTTTTTGTTTGAAGGTGCGTCAAATGACGCGATCAAAGATCTTCTCTCGGAACAAACATTTTCATCTCTCATTTTTATACATTTTCATAATTTCCAATTTTTTTTTTAAGAACAATGCCGGCGACCGTCTCGAGGTTGTTTTGATGTGTGTCTTATCCAGTCAAAAATTCTTTTCAACGATTTTTATATTTGCATGTTTAACATTAAAAAAAATGAAAGAATTCACTTCGATTAAAAATCACTATTTACTAAATACAGTCGAGCTGTAAAAATTCCGTTTTTCTTTGTTTTTATATGGACCCTTAGCCAAAATGCAAAACGTCCATGCGTTTTCATCAGTGTAGACTGTGTTAGTACTAAGGTACCTAAATTACTAAAAGGTAAGAGGCTTTCTTTACCGCGCCCTTGTTTGATGTTTCTTTGGAGTAGCCAGTGTGCTGAAATTAATCAAACCGGTGCCAGCAAATACTGAAAAAAAATTGAGAGCTTGATAAAAAGTGCGTTTGGGAAATTGAATGTGGAAAAAAAAAGACGGGAGCAATAATAAATGGTCCATGTGAGGATTGAACTCACGACCTTGGCGTTATCAGCACCACGCTCTGCCTACTGAGCTAACGGACCACACGTTCCTATGAAAGGACATTCCATTCAGTATGATCAAGACTTCATAATGGCGGCCACTCGCGGCTTCGGGTGCCCGACCCGGAAGCATCGCTTTGTACGCAGGAAAAACCACTGGTAACCACGAAGTTAAAGCGGAGCTTTTTCATTAACTCTTTCATGAAAAACAGCGTTCAGATAGCTGAGATTTCATCCATGTTCAAGCAGTAAGACATCTGAAACGGCCAAGATTAAAATTACCGTGGAGTATTTCCTTTTTGCCTTCTTTGCTTTTTTGTTTTGAGTCTTCTTCGCGACAAAACGATGGACTACATTGGCGGAAATAGGCCAATTTTTTTTTTTGATCAGAATTTGGAATTTACGCAGCACTTTCCGTTTTATAAAAATTGCATGTAAATTAGTCAGGATGGCTTCGAAATGTTCTTTCCTCCTTTTAAAAATAGTTTATAAGATTATCTCTTTATGTTATTAATGAATATCGTATCGAAGGCTGTGAACCCTAAGTATTGTTGATGAATAATTTTCCAGGAACTCGGTGTGAGGGGCGCCGTAGCCCAGTTGGTTAGAGCGCCTGTCTAGTAAACAGGAAGTCATGGGTTCGAATCCCATCGGTGCCTTTTTTTGAGTCAGTATGCAGTCAAGCTGAGAATAAAATTGGACAATCAGCCACAAGACAAGCTAAAGGCAAGTGAAGTCAAAACAACCAGAATTGACACACTTTTCACTCAAAAAATTTAAACGCTTACATTTGTTTAAAAAAGACAAATGGATAAAAATGTCCATACTTTTGCGTCTAACGACTACAAATGGTTAACAGATGAAAAAGGGGAACAGGGGGACAAGGGAACAAGAGAAACAGGAGAACAAGGGGAACAAGGAAACAAGGGGACCAGGAGAACAAGGGGAACAGGGGGGAACATGGGAACAAGGGCAACAGGGGAACAGGGGAACAATAGGAACATGGGGAACGGGGAAACAAGGGTTACAGGGGAACAGGGGAACAGGGGGAACGGGGGAACAAAGGGAACTAGGGGAACAGGGGGAACAGGGGAACAAAGGGAACAAGGCTAACAGGGGAACAAGGATTACAGAGAAAAGGGGTTACAGGGGAACAAGGCGAACAGAGCAGGAAGAGGAACAGGGGAACAATGGGAACAGGGGGAATGGAGAACAAAGGGAACTAGGGGAACATGGGAAACCGGGGAAAGGGGGGAACAAGGGTTACAGGGGAACAGGGGAATAGGAGTAACGGATGAACAAAGGGAACTAGGGAAACAAGAGAACAAGGGAACAGCGGAACAGGAGAACAAGAGGGACATAGGAACAAGGGAGGACAGGGGAACAAGGAGAACAGAGGAACAAGGGGGAATAGGATAACAAGGGTAAACAAGGGCAACAGGGGAACAAGGGTGACAGGGGGACAATGGAAACCGGGGTGAACAAAGGGAACAAGGGGAAAAAGGCGAACAAGAAAAGAAGGACAACAGGGGAACAGGGAAAGAAGGGAAACATGGGAACAAGGGAACAGGGAAAGAAGGGAAACTAGGGGAACTAGGGGAGCAAGGAAAATATCAAGTCACAGTGGTTTAAAAATCTAAAACACTCTAGTGAGAACTAGGCTTTTACAAAACTTGCAATACCGCAATTTCAATTAAATTTATTCCCTTTCTGTTAACCAAGTTTGAGAGATGTCATGAGATGTCAATGTGTTTGCGTCGCTTGTGTCTGAGCAAATATCATCAAATAAAAATTCTGTGAATATATTATAAGCCACTAGCACCTAGAACAAAGCAAACAATCAATTTTTCCTAATCGCGGTTTGCCTTTAAAGACTTGGTGAAAATGATTGTTGGCCCTGGCTTTAGGCTGTGGGCTATCACTCTAACGGCATTATACCTCAGTCACTCAATTGGTTATAAGCCAAGCCGCGTCAGAGAATATATGTTGGAGAAAATCATAAAGAGATCAAGCAAGACAGGTACCTTATTTTGTCTATTCATGAAAAGATAATTTCAGTTTCTAGTGTTTTTTTTTTTGCGCTATCTATAGATCGATTAATATATATTTGTTCTATAACATTAGGCGTTCGTGGACCGCGATTTTAAAATGGAATTGCCAGCAGACATATGATTGTGAATTAAACTTAGAAAATTGGCGTGTCAAACATTGACGGGAAGTCCGAAGACTACAGCAAAGCTGATTTAAAACAACGTGTATTGTTTTTTATAACAATATTTCGGCTGGCCATACCAGCCTTCTTCAGGTTTACAGATGTTACTGAACTTAAGTAGCAATCACAATATTATATAGATGGTGAATGTCGCAATAAAAGGGAGAGGCGGAAATGACATACAACATAAAAACTGGAAAGGAAACATACTAAGGATATGGATTACAATAATTCGTCTGGGCGGTTTGGCGTAAATCGCCGTGACGAATTATATAATATTGTGATTGCTACATAAGTTCAGTAACATCTGTAAACCTTATTGTTTATAAAAAACAATACACGTCGTTTTAAATCAGCTTTGCTGTAGTCTTCGGACTTCTCGTTTTTGTTCTTTATATTTTGGCTGATTTGATCTCTTCTCTAGAGATCCAACGTTTACAACTAGCAGGATCTTCGTCCACGGTTTTTGCAGTTAATTTAATCCTTTATTAGTGTCAAACATTGCATTCAAAATCATTCAATTCTAATTTGAATTTCAAATACGTGGATGATTTTCCTCGGCTTCCCCTGAATGAGATGTCTTAATTCCTTTGTCAAAAAATAAGAGCATGTGGAATAAAAAGCTACTGAGTAATATCACGCAGTTATAACTGATACTAAATTTAAAGTGAAAAAAAAAGTGGGAGTGTTTTAACCTGTTGTGCACCCCCCTCCCCCACCCCCCCTCGGACTCGTGTAATTTTACTACTCAAGAGAGTACAAATATAGTCATTTTGTAGCTTGTTATATTCGTTTGCAGGCAGTTGAATAACATTAAGCATAAACCAGTGACACCTATGGCATTTTTTATGTACCAAATACAACTTTCTAAATCCGGTGGAAAAATACGAATAAAATCAGTTTTTGTTGCGAAGACCAAAAAGCCTGACCAATAATATTGGCTTAATTTATTTAAATCGATTATATCGGGAAAATGATAAAGCTGGAGACACGTCATTCCAGAAACAAAATGTTTTCAGAGAGGTTTTTGGAAAAGTCTTCAACTGAATTTCAGTTGGTGAAAATAAAGGTTCAAAAAGCCCCATGTGGGGTAATTATTAGATTCCTAAATCCGGTTCATTTTTGCTGGTGGAATCCTGAAGCCAGGTATTTGGAATACAGAATCCAAAGTGCGGAAAAGGGAAACAAGGGAAACAGGGGAACAAGGGAAACAGGGCAGCAAAGGGAACAGGGGAGCAAATGGAATAAGGGGAACAGGGGGAACAGGGGAACAAGGGAACAAGGGGAACAGGAGGAACAGGGGAGCAAGGGGAACAAGGGAACAGGGGAACAAGAGGAACAGGGGGACAGGGGAACAGAGGAGGGAACAAGGGGAATAAGGGAAACAGGGGAACAGGGGGACAGGGGAGGGAATAAGGGGATCAGGGGAGCAAGAGGAACAAGGGTACAGGGGAACAGGGGAACAAGGGGAACAAGGGGAACAAGGGAACAGGGGAACGGGGGAGCAAGAGGAACAAGGGGACCGGGGAACAGGGGAACAAGGGGAACAGGGGAACAGGGGAACAGGGGAACAGGGGAACAGGGGAACAGGGGAACAGGGGAACAGGGAAACAGGGGAACAGGGGAACAAGGGGAACAGGGGAACAAGGGGAACAGGTGAACAGGGGAACAGGAGATTGGCTTTGGAATACGGAATCCAGAATCTAAGTCCGTAATGGATTACCTTAATTACATGGGGCGATTTAGAAATTACAAACTCTTAACTCCTGAACTGGAGTGCGCTCCAGTTTAGGAACAAAAACTATAAACTATTCTTATTTTTTTCAGTTTTATACCGTGTATCGGTCACAACTGCCGATGATGAAATCGGGACTGGTACTGACGCGGATGTCTTTCTCCAGATCTTTGGTGAAAAAGGAAACACAAGTGTTGTGGAATTAACAAAGTCAGGCAACCTGTTTGAAAGTGGACAGTAAGGGCCTTTCATATTACTTTCCTTAAAGTTCTTCGCAGACTTTGCCTTGAGGATTTTTCTTTCGCGCACATCACAGAAGGTTTATTTGCGAATATACTGAAAATAGGTTGGTTGACATTTAATATGAAACTTAGGTTGAGGGAGGACTCTTGTTGATTTTTTTGGAGGAAATAGTGTTGATTTGAGAAGGAAAGAAATTAGGGTAGAAATGGTATACACATAAACCAGTTAGTCCGCTGATAAGCTTAAAGGCACCTTGTTTCGGCGGTCACCGTGGGGGACCATCTGGTATTTGAAACTAATAATTTTCTTCATATTTTAATTTTCAACAACCTCCAAATCTAGTATTTTCCAACTTTCCACAATTTTAAACTTCACTCCCTCATCCCCCAATTTTTTATTCATCAAAACATTCGAAAAATCGTCCAAAAATTTACACACATTGAACCAATGACTCCGACCGTATTGAGCCATTTTTTGATTGAATGAAATCTTGGCTATATTTGGAAGAAAAAGGGCAGAAATGAACGAAAAACAAGACTTTTGACCAGCTACGTTTTCACTAAATAGATTTCAACTATGCCAAAAGCGAACCTAAAAGCGAAAGAAAGGTTACTTAACAATTAATGAATGAGGCTGAGTATGATTTGAAGAATTATGGAGATCGAAGAGAGTGTTATCCGTCGCGAGATCTCCATAATTCTTCATATGATACGAAAGCCGAATTCAATAATTGTTTTATTATTCATTTAAAAGAATTCCTAGTTTAAAAACACAGCTAAAACAAGCTTACCTGCATCGATGTTAAGTTTATCTTCGATAGTTTACGTTTAGGTTTGTCCAGCTCCGCAAATATTCTCCAAATAGCAGATTTCGCCCTCCGAGTTGTCTTCTTACTGTTTTTGCTATGTTTTTAGCCATTATTTCGCCTAGTTCCAGCTGTAGCTCTTACTTGAAACGGGTGAAGTGTCCGCCATTTTAGTTTTCACAACGAAAACAACTCAATCTCGTGCCCAGGTCTTCTCGGTTAACGGTGCATTAACCTGTAGAAGGCTGCATTTTTGACGTCATTTCCTCGTTAAACACAAAATTCTTCTAAATTTGGTCATCAGAAACTGGTTATGGTGAATTATGCGTGTGCTTTTAGCCAACCAGAGTTGGGGAAATATTTTGAATGAATAAACTGATTTAAGTTAGGCTGTTTTCTCTTTCAGGAAAGATGAATTTACTTTAGTGGAGAATTTTGTTGGTACTTTGACAAAAGTTGGAATAAAACGCAACGAAAAAGGCTTATTTGACGCCTGGAAATTAGCTATGGTAAGAATTGTTTCATTTCAATGTTTATTTATAATGTTAATCGCTTCACATTCCCTGCTGTATCACGTGATGTCTCTCTTCATTTTTCTTACTAAAAGCAAATGTTCGAGTCCGGGTTGATTTCTTCGCCTATTTACCAGGAATAAAAGAAGTATCCACTGCATAGATTCATGACAGATAAATACTCCACTCAGCTGGAAAAAAACCCACCACTTGCGAAAGAGAAATTGCAATAACAAACGGAAATCTTAACAAATACAGAAATAAGTGGACCACGCTGTGCATTTCTGATTAGTGTTGGATTTATAGTAAATTAGCAAACATTTTTCTATTTGTTCTGCTTGTTGTTGTTAATCTGTTGAACCTTCGTATTTCACTTTTTTTGCTTGTTTGTTTATTCCTTTTTTTTTACTGTTTCGCCTCCTCTTTATTTGCCGCCCTGTTAATGTAAAGTTTATTGTAATGTTATGTTAAATGATGTTTTATAAATAAATTCTTAAAAAAAAGAAACTAGTTATATCTACTTACCAAGTAAATAACTGAAAAATAAATAGTCATTTTATCGCTCTTTCTTAGTATTTCACTCTCGGCTTTTCAGATCACTGTTCAACCGGTTGGCTCTTTGGTTTACAAATTTCAGTTTAACCAGTGGATAAGACCCAACGAATGGACTTACAGTTATGAAGGATGATAGATCACTTGTTGCTTATCGTGTTTTAAAAGTACACAGAAGTTGACTTCCGAAAGTTTTGCAAAGTAGAATAGTATCTCAGGACATTTGCTATAGTACAGTGTTGAAGATGAGTTAAGCTTTTTATGTGTGATCAACCCTACTAACCTCATGAACAACCTGGATAAATAAAGTCATTTACAATACACTAATTTCACTGATAATGATTGTGATTATTATATTACATAAGTTCGTGCCTTACTTAATTTCTTAACTTGCAGTCACATGACCTTAGAACAACAAATACGGGCAAGCAATCGGTTAAGAAATCAAGAAGCTTTATGATAATTAACAATTTATTATTCCACGAGTGCGCGTTGGATATGAGTTGGCTGTAATTATCTCATATTCAACAAGCGCGAGTAGAATAATTGTTTTATTAAATTCGCCAAAAAAAATCGAGAATTCTTCCCGACTTTATTTGTAAAAACAACCGATTTTCAGCTTGTTTCTAATTTTGAGCAGACGCGCACAGTTACCATGTTTGGAGAGCATGGTATAATGGCTCATATACCATGATGGCTAAGCCAATCAGAGCTCTAGAATTGCATTATCCAATGATTCAGTTTTGATGTTATAGCCTAACAAGGTGCATTGACGATTCAGGAAATACTTGCTTTTCATTCAAAATATGGATGCGATAAAAAGTCGAGAATAGGGAGCTAGGAAAAAACGGCAAAGTGGACCTGTCGGTCAAATTCAGTCAGCGAAAGTTTGCAACTACGAATGTAAAACCTTTCTGAAAACGTTATCCTACAGGCAGAGCCTTCTTCCCGACATAGCTTTTATATTGCGGAGTCTTCGGCGCCACTATCATTCAAGAAAAAGTAAGCGAATGACAGCGGCGTAGCCAGCGATTTGGAGGGAGTCGCAAGAAGTCTCGCCTGAGTGGCACTCGAAAGAAAAGCGAGAGCAGGGGGATCCGAGGGGTTTTTTTTTCCCCGCCCTTCGCGGCTTCGCCGTTCATTCGCGCGTTCTCTAAAAGTTCGCTTCACTTGCTAGAAATGAAGAGCTTGCTCGCACGCTAAAAGAGCGACGCGAACTACTCCGCAAATCCGAACCATGAGCAAAATCGAATCATCATTTGATGGAAAATAACCCTTGTGTGATATTGTGTGCCAGCATCAAGCTGGTCAGTTTTCTGGTTTTCCTACTTGTGTTGCTACCGTTAAAGCAAATATCATTACAAGGGGTCCTACAGTTTTCTTAAAGAATGATTATACATAATTTAAGGTACAGTAGCAAAGATCTGCCACTTTTCAATCTTTGGCATTATTTACGTCTATTTCTGAAGCATTTTGGGATAAACTGTAAAAAAAAGGCGCTCGAATGTTTTGTTTTTATTCGAAAGTGTGTGAACAAACGAAGCTGGATCTATGATGTTCGTTTCTCGTTTCAGGGGCTTAAAGCCCATGCAGTTTCATTATCACATTTTTTTTTTTTTCAGAATAAACTCAGTAATGTTGAATTTTTTATCGCAAAGGCATTACAAGGTTATTGTCTTTTTTTCGAAGGGCTACATTGTTAGCTGATCGCTTTGCATTTCTTCTTAAAGGGGTCAAGCTTGTTGGAATAATTAAATTGATACATGACCTGAAAGTCTTGATTTGCGTGATCGATTTTTCTGAAGATTTGGCTTTTTCCAAGTTTTGCCAACCACGCCGTATACCAAATCAGTACCTTCCTGTTTACTGCTGCGAGCCCTAAGTCTCTGATAATGAATTAAGAAAAAATGATTTAAGACAACCCAAAAGTTTCAACTCATTTATTCAATTTTCCGACTTAGCCTTTAGCTTGGTTACAACTTTTACAACAAGTACTTAAAACAAGTCAGTTTACAAGTTATTGAATCACTACATAACTTTAACTTCTTGCAGCTGTTCTCGATATTACTTAGTGGAAATTTTGATCACGTTTAATATGATACATACCAAGCAAATTCTGTGACCTATGTACTACGCAACTGCACGTGAATCAAAGTAAATTAAAACTTTAACAAGATCAATCGCTCAAGAATTTCCTATCAAACGACGTACTGTTGCGCCTTTTAAGAAAGCCCGAAACCATGCTTGACTATTTAAAACCATTAAAAACTCCAATTACCATGATAGAAGCAAAAATAAGCTTCAAATCTATGCTGATTAAACCTGCAGCGTTGGGATTATGCTCGTACAGCTGAATCATTGTTCCACTGACTTTCTTTTCCACTTGTCTGCACTGGGTGTTTTCCACGACGGGGATTCTGTAGCGAGCGCGAGAGGTTACTGTGAAGGTCTTGTCTTTGACGTCGTTCAGGGGAACTGTGTTCTTGATGCCGGTAAATGTCTTTTCGTCCTTCGTGCCCTGGTACTTCACAGTTGTTCTCACTTCGATGAGACTGTTTTCGATTCCCTCTTTAAGAGAACGCGTTCGTGAAGATTGACCCAGACACAATCTTCCATTGGAGTCCAGTAAACTCACTGTTTCTGACGTCAACCTCACGGCTCTTTTCTCAGGGATGGACACGTAACTTCCATAGACTGGAAAGCCACCTCGGTAAACGGGAGCTACACTCAGTAGATATCTGGTAAAAAGATAACCGGCCGCGAATTTAGTGAACAATTGAGTACGTGAACCAAGCTTCGCTTGTGACTTGATAACTGGAGAACTGAACTTGGTCGCTTTGATCGGCGTGGTCTTGGTGATTTTTGGCTTCGACGAACCACCACTAGAACTTCTATACCGTGTTGTGCGAACTCTAATCCTAACTCTTGCACTAGCTTCAGCTATAAGCATGAAAAATGCTAGAGTTAGCAGAGTACAGACAGTAAGATACCTCATGTTTCTTGATCGGCCAGCAAATCTTAACAGACGTAAAATTGGTATGATTCAAATCACGTATTGACTGCAAATGCTTTCCCCCTACGCTTAAAGTATATAACTACCAGACGGGCCAATCAGATCAGTTCATCAAAGAATGCTTTGCTCTCGAATTTTGTCGAGTCATTATAAAATAACTTCCGCGTAACAGTCATTTCTTGTCACGTTCATGTCATTGGAAAATTTTGGTTGGAAAATCACTGGCACGTCAAAGACTCGATAGTTATTTCAAGTGATCAATGTTGCGGAAGTTATAGTGAACGACATGGTAGTCACAGTCATTTCCAAAACGAGGACATCTCTAAAACTCACCAGTTTCAAGTCCTGATCGGTTTGTTCGGCTAAGAATTTAGCGTTCCTTTACTTTCAAATGCTAACGGTCGAGCGCAAATTTATCGTTTCAATTTCAGAAAAGAATGTTTCCAATAGACCTTTTGCCCCCTTCCTTCGTTAGCATCAATATCCATTTAATAACCACATTTCCTTACTTACTTTTAGAAAAGAAAAAAGAATTGCAATTTCATAACGTTTAGCTACGTTTTCACTACCACCACGCACAATGCATAGCATCTTTAACTGAATAAGCGCTGCATCAGACGAAAGCACAATGGGTCTAGGAATAAAACGAATGCTGCAAAAGGTAGTGTGGAGAACGCAGACCCGGCCAATATCTAGCCTGCGAACCGGAAATGCGTCTGCTGTTCGCAGGCTAGCCAATATCGTGTTTCATCCATTTCTTTCACCGTTTCAGTCTTCGACAAGTTAAACAGAATTAAAGAGCAAAGAGCAAGGTTAAACCGCAAGGCGAATATGAATTGTCAAGTAACGCCATGGTTTTCTGAAAGCGTAAAATAAAGTAAACAGATTCTCATAATATTGAGTTTTCACGATTGGATCAGTATTAAAATAGTAGAACGTGTTGCTTGCAGATTCACTCTTGACCGTCATAAATTTATGTCCAAGTGCTTTGGGCGTGTTCGATTGCACCGTATTTCGAAAAAACAGTAAATAGGATAAACTCTATCTAGAATCATCTGTTTTGGCTTTCATTGCGTTGCAATAGGTACAAAACTGCTGGAAATAAGAGATTCTGATCTATATAAAGTGTAACTGGTTAAAAATCACGACAGAAGAGATTTGTAACAAAACTTTTGCGTATTCTTATTCCGGAATACGATCAATCGAACGCAACCTTAACCCTTCATAAGTCCCAATGGTGGCCAACATCAATTTTCTCCTAACGACATCCATAGGTTGTCGAGAGCAAAGACTATGAGAATTAATAAAATGATCACAATGAGAAAAATCTTTGATCTTTTATCAAATTCTCTCAACCAAGTCTTTAAGGAAATGCATAGAGATCAGTTTGGAGAATTTGTGTGTGGATATTGGGGCTTAAAGGGTTAATATAGAGCGTTTTCACTCACGTGGCCAGCATCTATGCAAAGTTATGAGAACGTTTACGTTTACGTAAGAAAAGAGTCCAACTCCCACAGGATTAGCCTACTGCAGTTTTACTGCCCTCGCACCGCCCACCTTCGCCCACCTTGGCTTGTTTGCGCACCTAACCAAAACCGTCATGCTACCCAGGCTATGACATCCCTCATGCTGTGTTTACATTCAAGCGTTTACCAAGGTAAACATTAACTGACTTAACCCTGGTACATTTGTACAGTGTTTATACGGGCTCAAATAACTAAGGTAAATCTGTCATCAATCACAATCTAATCGAATTGGCGGCAAATTCTAAATCCACGCATGAAATGCTCGCGTTTAAAAGAGAACCTGTGGTTCTTGTAGTCCTCGCGTTTTATTTTCTTGTTCTTGATCAGCAAACCCAGGAATCGAGATTGCAGCAGCTCTCACTTTTGCAGCACCTAAAGAGGTCGAGGTGAAAGCGATTAATTCTGCTACAAATTGCCCTTCGCAAGACAAGGCGCGTTAAACGTGCGTGGTCGTGGCTGAGAAACTAATTCTGGTTCGAAACTCTATTAAGGTGGCTGAACACAGTTTTGCGGGCGGTCAGCGGTAACTCGCGTGACAGCGCGTGTTTTTAATTAGACAAACAAACATGGCGGCGAAAAAGCAATGGCACATAGAAGACGATTTCTCAAAATCTACTCATTAAAATTTTGTGATATTTGGCAGAATTTTTACTTTTATCGTATTTTAGATAATGAAAACTTTAAAATGGAAGTTGAACAGACGAATTTCGTGACACATTTGGTAATTACAATGCAATTTTATTATTGATTATCTAAAAGTCCGTCTGTTAAAATTTGATCAAATA